TGCCAGGAAGGTCCCTGCAGGACCAACACGGCAGCCCCCAAGCTGCTCTACCCCAGGATCCACAACAAAAGCCTGGTCTGCTGGGGGGGGCGCACTAGCTGCGCGCCCCCTCCGCCCCCAGCAGACCAGGGACACAGGGAGCAAAGCCGCAGCGGCGGTGGGGTGCCGCGCCTCTGAGGCTTTGCTCTGGCAAAGCCTCAGAGGCGCCGGACCCCTCCGCCTCCCCGGCTTTGCTCCAGGTGTCCCTGGTCTGCTGGAGACGGTTCCCAGCAGACCATGGGCACTTGGAGATGCTTTTCTCGCCCCGGTGGTCGAGGTGACGGGACCGCTGCGCTCTGGGCGGTCCCGCTGCCTGCGAGCTCCGGGGCGAGAGAGCCCCGTTCATAAGTGCGGATCCGACATAAGTCGGATCCGCGTAACTCGGGGACTGCCTGTACTGAGGCTACTCCAATTCAGAAAGCTTGAAAAACTACCTGCTCGTTCAGTCTCACAAATCCTAATATGTTAAAGCAAAGTGGAAAATGTGCATACCATCTCACTTCAATGTGGCAAACTTCACAAGAAATGAAAACTTCATTGCATGATTTCCAGCAAGTTAAATGCCAGCTTGTTGCATGCACTGTATGTCACATAAAATAAGAACCCACATATATTTTGCTCCCCTTTGCTTGCTTTTGTGTTGTCCCTGTGTGTTTGCAATTGTTTAAACTATGTAATGTGAACAAGTCAGCATCTGTATCTCTCTCATTACTTTAATAGGCAATTTAGGCTTCTGCAGCTTGCTCTTTCCAGTCTTCAAATTTTTTTCTTTTGAAGTCAATTACGGTTCTTTGAAGGAATTTTGCTTATTTTTGTACCTAACTGAATCATGGCTTGTATAAATAGTCTAGCACCTTAAAGACTAACAAAACATGTAGATGGTATCATGAGCTTTCCCACACTAAAGTCATCTGAAGAAGTGGGCTGTGCCCACGAAATCTCATGATACCATCTATAAGTTTTGTTAGTCGTTAAGGTGCTACTAGACTACTTTGTTGTATTAAATGTTTCCTGTTAGACAAACTCCCCTACCCCCTGAAGCATTTGAACATGGCTGTTTAATTTGTCAGTGTTCAAGGAGGAGGCCCACAAGTCTAATATAGGGTAGAGACTTGAACTGGGCACAGGAAAGAAAGCAGGTAGCTTTTTCGTTACAATCCACAGCTTTTCTTTACTTTGTGTCAGAATACCATCGAACGAGGCCTCTGAAGGTGTCTGTTTTCTGCTGCACATTCAACAAAGTGTACTTAGGTTGAGCTTAGTGAGTTACACATGGCTCCAGAAGAGCTCTGCTGAATCTGTGTTCGTGATGATCTTGACAGATTGTTTTTAAAATCAGTTTGTTTCTCTAGTGCTTTAGGATTTTGTTCTAGTTATCTGTTGCTTTACTCGTATATCTGTTGCTTTACTCTGTATAATTAGTGCCTGTTTTGCTACCTTAGTTTTAAAAAAACTGCTGCATTTATAATAATACGTTCTATTTTTAACCTTAAAAGTATGTTGGTTGATTGGGAGACAGGGAAAGGAGTAGAGTGCAAGAGACTTAAGTAATTGGACAGTCATATGGAAACCAAATAAATTTTTCTCAACCTGGAAGAATTTTTCTGGCTACTAATACAGTGCTGTGAACTTCCATAATATTATAGAATCATAGAAAACTAGAACTGGAAGGGACTTGATGACCTCTTCAAGTCCAGTCTCCTGCCCTCATGACAGGACCAGGTACCATCTTGATCGTCTCTGATAGATGTTTATCTAACTAGCTCTAATTATAGAGATTCCACAACCTTCCTAGGCAATTTATTTTAGCAGTTAACCACCCTGACAGGAAGTTTTTTCCTAATGTCCCACCTAAACGTCCCTTGCTGCAATTTAAACCCATTGCCTCTTATCCTATCAGATGTTAAAGAGAGTACTTTTTTTTTTCCTCCTTCCTCCTTCTAACACCCTTTTAGGTACTTGAAAGCTGCTATCATGTCCCCTCTCAGTCTTCTCTTTTCCAAACTAAACAAATACACTTTTTTCAGCTTCCCTCATAGGTCATACGTTCTAGATCTTCACAAATTTTGGTTCCTGTTCTCTGCATCTTCTCTAATTTTCTCCATGTTTTCTGAAATGTGGTGTCCAGAATTGGATACAATACTCCAGTTGAGGCCTAATTAGAGGGGAAGAATTACATCTCGTGTCTTGCGCATAAGACTCTTGTTGATGTGTCCCAGAATGTTTGCTTTTTGCAACAGCATCACACTGACTCTTATTTAGCTTGTGGTTCACTGTGACCCCTGGATCCACTTCTGCAGTACTCCTTAAGTCACTTGCCATTTTTTATATGCGAAATGGATTGATTAATAATTGGAGTTCCAATACTGTTGCAAGAAACAGAAAAGAGAGTTTGCGTGTCCTTCCAGTAATACTGTAAGATCCTGGCTGCTTACATTTTCTGACAAATCTTCTTAAACTTCCCAGGCAGGGCGAAGATGAGGAGATTAGGGAGTGAACAGTGAGTTGTTTGTTTGGATATATACGTATTATATTGATGACAGGAACACAAAATGAAAAATTTTCCCTTTCCCAAATATTTTTTGCTCACTCTTCAGAGGATTCAGCATATTGTTGTAAACCTGTATTACAACTTGTTTAATTACTTTAAAACACATCTGGAGGCAGAATTAATTGCAGTTCATTGCAAAATAAAAATATTCAGAGAAACAGGTAAATTGGAGACTGATGTAAAAGTTTTGTAATCACTAATCACAAACAGTAATTTGGGAAAAATTATGTGACTTCAGGTATCCTCTAGCTTGCTAAGAGCTACCCAGAGATAAGCCTTATTTGTGTCCTGTGATATTTGATGTCAGAAGATTTTCTGATTAAGAATTATGAACTGTAAACATGTTCAGTTTTAATGATACAGCTAGTCACATTTTCTTGTGGCTCTGTCGGTTTGTCTCCCTGGACATTAATAGAAGTATTTTTATATTAAGCAAAATTTAGAAAATGCTACTTAAAAGTAATTTTTAAAGTGTCATTTGGGTTACTTTTTATCAATTATTTACTTATGGACTCTGCCTTTTGAACTTCTGTGTCAGTTGCATCTGTACCTTGGCATGTAGACACAATTTGCTTTGACTCAGTCATGATACAGGGTATTCTTTAACTACCCAGTATGTGTTACAGCAAGAGGCCTCATTGAAACATTTTTTTATTTTTCTGCAATGGCAACGACTGTAATAAAATGTGCAGTTGAAATTAAATTGTATGCACTTGGGATGACAGAAATGTGACTCATCTTACTTCCAGGGAATGAATTACTTAAAAGAAGCCAAAAGGTGTATATTTGTAGAAACACTTGAATAAAATATATGAAGAAACAAATGGAAACACAGTACTTCAAGATGGGGGAGCTATATGAAGAAACAAACACAGTACTTCAAGATGGGGGAGCTGGGTAGAGGAGGGAGACAGAAAATGTGTCATTTTGGAGAGTGAAGTCAAAAGTAATTACTTTAGCTAACCTTGAAAGATCTTAAAAGATAATTTCCTGAGCTGCTGTAGTGCTTCCTAGGCTTTGGAACAGGGATTGGATACTTGGCAGTATGGTTGCCTTTAGCAGAGCGGTGCCTTTTTGGCTATCTTGATTAAATTGTACCAAATTTAGCCAAATTTAGTACTTTTTTTTGCACATACTTGGTAGAGGCTGGCAGCTGAGTTTTGCAAACATTCTTTCTAGGGATGTCAATGTGTAGACCAACTACATGATTAACCAATAAGCCTATTGACTACACTCATTTGCCCCCCTCCCATTGTTGCCTCTGTATCAGAGGCAGCAGCGTAGAGGGTGAGGGGGGCAGGCTGGAGCCAATACCTGTGGGGGAGCTGACTTTAGTAGCTCTCCATGTGTGCTGGCTCCACTGACCCAACTGCACATCCTTTTGCTGCCTCCTACAGATGCAATGGGAGGGCAGGCAAGAGCCAGTGCTGGGGAGAGATGGCTTAACAGTTGACTCCCCCAGCACCAGTTCCACAGTGCCGCCTGTTCCACCCCTGCAGCATTGCTGTCCATGGGGGTGATTTGAGCTCCCTATAGACAGGGACTGCTACTGTGGAGCAGCCTCTGTCTGCCGGGAGCTCGGGGGAGCGCCAACGGATTTATGTGAACCACACTAACCATGGTTAGTCCACACAGAGCTCGCTGAGCATGCTGCAATCCAGGACTGAGCAAGGTGTGGGGTGTTTTTGTGTGTGTTGTTTTTTTTCAGGCTAGGAGTCAAATAATGAGACTTTATCCTGTTGGTGCTGTTGCCGTTCCCATACTGGTGCCCAGGCTTGTATAGGGGAGAAGGAGACTAAATTGACTGCAAAGAGGCGAAGATAAGAGTTCGGCATTCAGGAATAATCATAGGTGCATTTACTGACTTTAGAATGCTTGATGTTACAACCTTGATATTCTAACTAGGGATGTTAGATATCTATTAAATGAATAGTCGATTAACCTCATGAGTTCTTATCGGCTACTCAACTATTTTATAGTCCCTGGGGGTAAGGCTGGCAGCCAGTGTGCACCAGCTCCACTCTTGAGGAACCCCCTGCCACTCCGTGCTGCTGTATCAGAGGCAGCAGCGTGGGGTGTCTAGTGGACAGCTGGTCTGTGAGGGAGCCAGTTTTTAAAACCAGCTCCCCTTGTGGACCAGCTGCCTATCACCCTACACTGCTGCCTTGAATACCGAGGCAGCAGTGCAGGGCAGTGGCAGCCTCTGTCTGGGGGAAGAGAGGGAATGTGTGCAGTCTATAGCATTAACCTATAAGCTTTTGCTTATGGGTTAATTGATTAATCACCTTTACATGTTAGAAGTAGGGATATAATACTATATTTGATGGAGTAACACATCTGAGCTTTGATTAGAGAGGGAGAAAGCACCTGTGGCTGAATAGCTAATGGTACTGAAATGCCTAATATTACAGTAAAGCTCGCCAATAAACGGTTGTGTATGAATCAAGCATCTAATTTTGTCAGTGAAGTTTACAAAACTAATTTCTTTTGTTTGGATGTTTTGGGCTGGTGAATATACAACAGTGGGGAAATTGGATGTCTAAAGTTACTTGTAGCAAAGATCTCTCTTACTTAATTCATTTAAATTTTCTTTGTAATATTTTGCCATAATTTCAGACAGTCTGTATATTCCCATTAGTGTTAGCAATGAAGAAAATACTGATGCCGCCTGTACTGTATAATGTGGCTGTTTTCTTTGTTTGAGACACTGTGCAGTAATGGGCTATTGGCCAGTCCTGGTTCATGTGTCTACCTTTAAAATGAACTTCTAAAGTTTAAGGTTTTGATTATGGTATAAGTCAGGGGGATGTAGCAACATTTTTCTAGCCTCGGTGGCAGTGTAAAAAGACCTGCAGATAAGAGCAACAAGGTCCCTTCTGTACTGAACACTAGCATCTTCTCGCAATAATATTTTTTTTCAAGTTTTGTAAAATACTACTTCACTGCTCTGGTTGTCTGAAGAAGTGGGCTGTGCCCACGAAAGCTCATGATACCACCTACATGCTTTGTTAGTCTCTAAAGTGCTACCAGACCATTTGTTTAAGTTTATCCATTATTTATTGTTTACTGGGTTCATCCCAATGTGGACCATGGATTTTGGAGTCAGGGAAATGATTTGTTTGGGTTCTTTTGGGGGGGGGGGGGGGAGCTAAAATGTAATTGACCTTCTATGTAAAGGAGGTCTTTGCCTCTGCCCTTGTCTCCTACTTGCAGCACCAGGACCAGAGGAGCCCAGATGATAGCACCAGTCTGCTTAGTTGCCAACCTCTTAAATTTAAATCCACCGGGAGTTCTCTCAGTAAAGCTGGGAACTGCTGCCTCACTTCTTGTTTAGCCATTGGGAAGTGATATCCTGATCCCTGCTGCTTCCGGCAGCTCCCATTGCCTGGGAACCGTGATCCTCTGCCAATGGGAGGCTGCAAGAACCTGTACCTTAGGAGTCACAGGTAAATATCTTGGCAGCAGCTCTAGGGGATCAACTCTGGTGAACTGCTGCCATTTTATTGGCCACCCCTTAGTTACACCAATACAAGGCAGAGATAAAATAACCTTTCTGTTCTTACTTGAGATTTCCATTTGTGCTTTGCAGAATATCATTGGCTCTTTTGGCTACTGTGTGATGCTGGGAGCTCATATTCAGCTGATTATCCACCACAATTACCACATTTTTCATAGTTGCAGCTTTCCTGGGACAGAGACTTCCATCCTGGAAATAACACCTACATTCTTTGTTTATAATGTATGTTTTCATTTAGCCTTATTAGAGTGGACACAAGCATATCCTATGCATTTTACCAAGTGATCCAGATTGCTTTGAATCAGTGAAGTGTCTTTAATTTGCCGCCACTCCAGTTTATCACTGCAAAGTTTATCTGATCTCTTTAGTGGGAGGGAGTTTTTGAAGAGTGCAGCAGTTTCTCTTCCTTCCTTCCTGCTATTGGGAAAGAAAATGGTGTGTGAAAGAGAAAGGATGAGTTCAGTACTCCGGTCTAGTTTCCATGAATGTAAATGTAATTGATCTTGTGAAGAGCTTAACTATGAGTTTCTTACTGCATCCCTTAGACAAACAGTACCCGCCCAGTGAAGGCACAGAAGTCACTTCTTCCATACCCCCATGCAATCCTAGTACAAGACTGTGGGCTACTTGATGCCTTTTGAAGCAGACTATTTTTCTCAGGCAAGTGCTGCCTCCTGCTGCTTAAGCAAATAATGAAACTTTTCCCAGAAGATAAAGAGGAAAGAAAATTAGTGCAGAGTTTAGCCTATAACATCTTGGAGCTCAGTGGTGTGGCAGATGGCTAATATGATCCTGAATTGAGGCATGGTTCTTTTGAATAATTCCAACGTTTGAAAGTGTGCTTGTTCTTTTGTGTCCAGGCTATGATTTCAGATACAAAGCCGGAGTAAATCTTGCTCAGGAAATAAGGTGTGCTAGAATCAGCAAAAACTAGTTTACATGCAGGAATCCAAAACTGGATTAATTTTAAGAGTTAAAAATTAAATCGTGGTGTAAAACACCCCACTGGCTATTACGTACATTGTCTGTTTAGGACAAGTCTTTCTGTGTCTTACATTTACAGAAGAATTTGTTACCTATTCTCCTTCAAAATAACTTCATTCATAGAATTGTGCCAAGGCAAAATTCTAGACGACAATACCTCAGTCTACTCAGTTTAGTGATAGAAACTACTCAGTTTGATTGGTATGGGAATTGTGTATGGAGTTTGACTTAAAACAAATGTAGGATGTTCAATTTAATATGCTCCTAGAAATTTAAATTGTTCTAGTGGTTATAAATTAATCCCTTCATCACAAGGTTGTGTGTATAGAAAGCTGTTGCTGAGGAAATGGACTTTTGCACTTTCTGCACTAATATATATTACTATGTTGAAAATATAGTAAAGAACATTGAGGTTGCAGTCAAATGTAGGAAATGCCAGAATTAAGTTTGCCTGAAAAACATTACTTCAGCTCCCTTTGTATGTCTAGTTTATGATTAAAATATCTTTGGAAAGTTTAATTCTGTAGGCTGGTAGTTAGGGCTCTGACCTGGGATGTGGAAATCCTTGCTGAAAATTCCTTGCAGGCCAGGCTATTGGGTATTCTGTGTTTCTGTGGATAAGGGATGGTGGTTGTAGTTGTTTCTTTCCCACTAATGTTCTTTTCAAGCAATCTAATTCTGGCATTTACTGGCTTCTGACTGTTCGACTCTGCAACCTTAATGTTCTTTCAGCATAGTTGTTGTTTTAACTTCTTTATATATAGCATCTATGCAGTATGTCAAAGCCACCTGATACAGCATTGTTGCTCTCTTTTTATGGAATCCTCTCTGCTTCTATTTGAGAATATATTGGAAGGGGAGAAGAGCACAGTTATCTTCTATAGACCTCATATAGAATGTACATATATTTGTACATTATAATCTAATCCTAATACAATGTACGATTTTAAAGTTTCCAGTTCAAAGTTACTGAAAAAAATTAATGTTTGTTTTCTACACCATTTATATGTTTGTGTAGAAACGGGTCATTTCAGGAAGGAATAAGTAGAGACAGATTAGTTGAAATAGTTTTGTGTGCCAAGATGAGGTTGGTTTTGGGAAAAATCCAAAGTATGACTAGCTGCATCTAGACTTTGAAAGTGTTCTTTATTAGATTTCCAGTAATTTTGTACATGGTCTTAGCAAGTAATTTTGTTACTGAGGTTCAAATCTCCAGTTACTCTTCTCCCACAAGTTTGGAACTTTACCGTTATGAGTAAGTATGTCTTGACCCCTTTTTCTTTCTCAAGCTATCTTTTCCAAGTGTTATAGAACCCAGATACGGTATGTTAAACATGTGCCTAACTTTTCAACATCTCTAATGCTTTTGGTTTGCATGACTTGAGACACATGATGACTTTTCAGAAGGTTAGCATTTCTGGAAATTGGGCCTATTTCAAGTATGTCTAGTTAGACCCCAAAAACATGAGGCATTTTGGGGAAAAACGGATTTTAAGTATATTGGTATAACAGTTGTCCAGGATCAGTCATGGTACAATTACCACCACTGCTACAACCCATGTTGAATTGCAAATCAGGAAGCAAAATCACGTCTTGCCCTTAAAATGCGCTGTTATGCACCACATCTGTGCAGATTGCCTCTTGCAGGAATACAGATGCTTTGTAAGCATATATGCATATTAAAGGTGCCTTTTCTTTAAATCTTATCTCTAACATCTACAAATACAATTACTGAACATAATCATTCAGTCTTAGGACAGCAGAGAGACTTTTTGCTTATGTTGAGAATACAGATGTGAATGGTTAACTGGTAAGCATAACCTTTGCCAGGTGATGTTTACCAGTTACGGTTAACTGACAGGGGGGGGTCTTCCATGGCCGGGGGTGCGTTCAACATGGCCCTGTTTTTTTTAATTGGTTAATCAGTTAAAAATAAGGTTTAATCAGTTAACTAAATGGGATTTTACATCCCTAGTTTAAAAAATGCACTTTGTGGCCTACGTAATGATTGTATAAGGATATATGGTATTATATATTTAATTCTTTTTTTTTTAAACAGCAAACCCATGATGGACTTGCTGATTTTTCTCTGTGCACAGTATCATTTAAATCCATCAGGCTATACCATAGATCTGATTTCAGCAAAGAAGAGCCAGATTAAATTCAAACCGAATACACCTATTGGAATGCTTGAAGTAGACAAGGTGATTTTAAAGCCAAAACATATGGATAAGAAAAAGCCTACTCCTACAATGCCAGAGGTAAGAATTATACCAATGATAGTGTTATCTGAAGAGAGAGAAAGATTAAGTACTCTGCATCTTCTGGTTGTACTCCACTGTGGCAGATTGTATTTATCTAAATGTTATTTGTTAAAATGCAGTTTCTCAATAGAATATATTTTTCAGGGTATGGCCTATTGGCATCTCAATATATGATTACATTGGTATTACAGCTTTAGTCTGTAACTCCAGGTGTTTAGATGATTTTGGTGTTTACAGTGATGTGAATCTAATTGCTGTTTTTGGGACCGTAAATATTATAAGCAGCAATCTGAAGTGTAATAAAGTTACAAATTTCCTTCATGAAAGCATCCTTTGATAAATTCTAAATATATTCTCTGGACAACACAGCTGTATATACCTATAGCATCCCTTTCATAATCTGAAAATCAGTTCCTTATAAGTTCTCTGGAATGCCATAACTTACACACCCTGTTGATAAATTATTTGTATTTTATTTTCATTTAATGTGTGCTCTGCCTGTGGTTGCTCCGTCTTCCTTTTGGAAACACTTAAGATTAAATGTGTAAATGAAGGATATTCCTCATGCTCTGGGAAATAGAAGCTTTTCAGAAGGCAGAAAATAAAAACTGGTGTAATTATTTTATGAAGGGCACAAAATACAGAACCATTTTTTCCCCTCATTCTATTTCCTTTTTTCTAACTTATGCTAAGTGAATTGTAACTTGAGTAATGTAGAAATAGGCTATTCCAACAGAGAAGGGTTTGCCATTTCTGTAGGAATACCACCACCCTCAACAGTAGCCACATCAACAGAAACCATCTTCCATCAATTGCATCTTAGGTCAGGATGGCTATTTTGGCCATTTAGGCCAGAGCCAAAACTGATACTCCACCAATCAGGTTGTTTTTTTCTTAATAAATCTGACCGCCTCTTTCCTACTGTTCTCTTCATAACTTGGATAAAACTAACAATGGTGAAACAGCCCTTGGGAAAGGAAGAAATTTCTAGGGTTGCTGCAACATTCTGTTCGTGTGACAATGAGCTTCTTGGTCTGTATCCTTGAATGCTGTTTAATGGTTTGTTTCCTTTTTCAGCAAACAGTAAGAGTAGTAGTCAACTACAAGAGAACACAGAAGACTATAGTGAGAGTGAGTCCACATGAACCTCTTCAAGAGTTCATAGCAATTATCTGTAGAAAATGTGAGTTTGATCCTTTGCACACTGTATTGCTGAAGAATTACCAGTCTCAGGATCCCCTTGATGTAACAAAATCTCTCAATGACCTTGGACTAAGGGAGTTGTATGCAATGGATGTCAATAAAGGTAAGAGGGGTTTTTTTATAGTTCTCATCAAAACTATGTGTACAGGAAATGCTACTATTTTTTTTAAAGTAATAGATTTGATTTCATGTGTTCCAGAACAATGAATTTCCTTCTAATTTCCTTGTGCTCTTCTTCCTTCTGGTATAGAACCAAAACTACCTAAGGGTTACCTACGATTAATTTTCATAAACTTCAGACAAGAGAACTCCTATATGAAATTGCTCCATATAAAAAGTGATTGATTGTTTCTGAGAAGTGTGCTGAAGTGACTAAGCATAAGTGTGTATAAGATACTATTTATGAAACCCTGTGTCAGTTTTACTCCTATTCAAATTCAGTGTCTTGTCTCTTGTAGTGCTCCCTCTTCTGGACACTAGATCCATATTGCTTAAGCTTCCCTGGGTCTAAGTAGTCAGTGGACCTGCCTCTTTTTTCTTCGGTCTCTCTGGGTATGTCTATGGCTCAGTTACAAACTCATGGTACTACATCTCAGAGCCTTTGCCAATAAATTTCAGTGAATTAGTTTGGTCTCAGGCTTTCCCACCATCCTCCGTAGGGGTTTTTTGAGCCTGGGCTCCAGCCCACACCTAAAGACCGCACTTCAATTTTTAGCCCTGCAGCCCAAATCCTGGGAACCTCTGTTCCCATGTACTGGCCTCCCCATGGGGTCTTTATGGCAGTGTAGATGTGCCATACCTCCAAAGCATAGTTATCCTTTGCTACCCCTTCACAGAAATGGGCCTCATGGACCATAGCTTGACACCTCAAGCTCTCCAGCAACTTAAGTATATCCTCTTGAAACTCCAGCTATGTGGGAGCTATAGGTTTACAGTTCACTCAGAGGCTTTTTTTCACTTAACACAAGAGAAAAACCAATCTAGACAAAATAATATACATTTGCAGTCATTTCCGGCCTCAATTTTCTCTGGAATGTTCTTTGGGGATAGACTAGAAACTTATAAGGAGTTTAGGATGCATTTTTTCCCCTGCCCTCTTGCACATGATTTATTTCAGTCTGTATTCCACCCTGTACTCATTGGCTTTTCTCTTCCTCAGCTGGTCCCACAGTTAGACATCATAAACATTGCCCCCCCCCCCCTCCTCTCCCCTGCCATGAAACATGTCCTTCTTTTACTGTCTCCTGCCCAAAGCTTCCTCTCTTCTTCCTCTTGCTCTGCATGTTTCTTTAAGTCTCACCAGCAACTCCTGGTTACTTGTTTCTACTGCTGGGGAAATTCTACTCTGCAAACCTCAATCCTCTGCAGAGAAGTTGGGAACAAATTGACTTCCCCTGGCCGTCAGCTGTTCTGTTCTATCTGGGCCAGGTCTGTTCACTAATTAATAGTCGATAACAGTCTCTTCAAAGGCCAGATTTATAAGCAGCATTCTCTAATGTTGCCACTTTTCAGAATTTCTGTCCCGCATGAAGAGAAGAAGAGGGGGAAAAAAAAACAGCCCTATATTCAAATGGAATTTGTAGTCTCACATGGACAGAGAGGATGCCCACTATCAAACAGAATTATAAAATTGTACATACAGTCCCCTAAACAGGGAAGTAATTGTTTGTAATCCTGCAGGGTCAGATGACCAGCAACCCAAGAGCGTATTAATCTAACAAATTATGACTTTATATGATGCTACCAGTGTAGGATGTGAGCATTTGACGAGTATGGGTTGGTTTAGTTCGTTAATGGCTTGTGAAGCAAAATGTTTCTCCAGATTGAGACAGAAGACAGAAATAACTTCCTTTTGATCAGACAGCTACTAGCTCCCAATCCTGCACCCTGCCCGTGTCCATATTTTATAAATTACTCAAGTTTTTTGTCATTCTGTTACCAAAAATTTCTAAGATTTCATGCAAACATGTTCTGTCAGCATTAGCTATTTCAGGCCTGGGCAAAATACAACCCTGGGTCAGATCTGGCCTGCTAAGCCATGAGATTGAGCCCGCAGAGGCAGTGGGGAGTCCCAGGCAGGCTTCCAGCTTGTCCTTCACACAGTGCAGAAATGTGGCTGCTGGGCTTCCTTCCAGTTTGAAA